AGTCCATGGATACGTGCCTACTAGGTATAACTTATTTTATGCTTACTTGTACATATTTGAATCTATTAAAAGTAGCTGTATGGATTTGTAAACAATCTTGTTTTTTTTTTTGTTTGTTTGTTGTTGTTTTTTTAAAAACACAGGACAAATTGAATTTCAAACAAAAATATATTTTTAATTCTATTTGGTCATGTTTATACTTTTTATATGACTATTCTTGAAATATTTCTTAAAATATATATTATTTAATCTTTGATCAGCCTGGCTGTTCCCATGTGTTCGATATCACTCGCCAGCACCAATTTCTGTACGTTGATTGGTCAAAGGAACAATACCTATCCTATATGGTCATCAAAACAAGTTCTTTCAAATGAAAACTTGTAAATCTCGACTGTCAACCCGCGATCACGGGAATTAGTACGTGTTTGAATTCTAACTACGCAGTTCAAACTCTATTCCTTCTGTTAAAGAGTTAGAAAATGGTCGATAGCGTGTATCGAACGCGTTCGTTAGGTGTTCCAGCCACTGGTATTCCAGATCAGTACGCCGATGGCAAGGCGGCAAGGGTCTGGCAACACTACATTGGCGGACATAAACAGCGRACTGAACCTTACCAAGATTTTTTCTGTGGTATACTGCGGGATCATARAGCCAGAAAAGTCTTAGACGTTGCATGTGGAACTGGGTATGTTGTTAGAAATTATTAGAGTAATAAAAGATGATTGCTGTTGTGTAAAAATTCACGTGCAGTCACACTTGGCCGTCAAGGTCAACGGGAACGCATTTGGGATATAAATAAGAGCGATTTTCTCGCCTGTTTTTTGTAGAGATTGTCATTTAATAAAATTATGATAAACATGTCACGTATTAAGTTTAAGAGCTGTTCAGAAATGTTTAAGAAGAAACATTTTGAGGCCAGAAAAATTGGTATAAAAATCTCAATGCAAATACTTGTGGTTGGTTGTTGTTGAATTACCTGTTTTGTCAACCGGTTTAGAGACACATGGATGCGTGTTTGTTTACTACGTTCAAAACGCGATTAGCCAGTTCTAGGATCAAGAAATCTTGTTGAGAAGTCWGGATTATCTAGAATGAAATASATCACTTAACATTCTGGATTAATTCCCACTTTCATTTTGAATGCAGGGGGAGTGAAGCAAATATTGTTGAAATCTTTTTCCATWTTTTTWWATTTATTTTTTATCTGTCTTTACATTTCTTCTCGTTTGATATGATGGATATTTTTTCTTTTGGCAGCAAAATATGGTCTTAAGTCCCCCTAACTGGTATATGAAATCATGTT